TTTCCAAGTACAGTCACTTTGTGGCATTGAAGCATCCATTTACTGCTCTTTCGGTTGCTAAGCAATTCATGCTCCATATATATAAGTTGCATGGGTTACCATCAGCCATGGTTTCTGATCGTGACAAGATCTTTACAAGTCAGTTATGGAAGGAACTGTTTCGCCTTGCTGGAGTGGAACTTCGTATGAGTTCGGCCTACCATCCCCAATCGGACGGCCAAACGGAGAGAGTGAATCAATGCATGGAGACATTCCTACGCTGCTTCGCTAATGCCGCTCCTTCCAAGTGGGTAGACTGGTTGCATCTCGCAGAATTTTGGTATAATACTACCTGGCATTCAGCATTGAAGCAGTCTCCGTTCGTGGTCCTCTACAGTCACACGCCGAAGCAGCTGGGAATTGACGCTGCCTCTGCTTGCTCGGTGTCCTCTCTGGATGATTGGTTCCAACAGGGAACAGTGATGCAGACTTTGATTCAACAGCACTTGGCCAGGGCACAGAACCGTATGAAAATGCAGGCGGATAAGAATCGCACGGAGCGTTCATTTTCAGTGGGCACCTGGGTGTATGTCAAACTTCAACCCTACGTTCAGACTTCGGTTGCTGCCCGAGCAAATCAGAAATTGTCCTTTCGGTTCTTTGGCCCCTACCTCATCACAGAGAAGATAGGCTCAGTCGCTTACAAGTTGCAGTTTCCGGCCTCTCTTCTACTGTCCATCCCATCTTTCATGTGTCCCAGCGCAAGGGCGCTATTCCAGTAAGTCATGTGGCTCAACCATTGCCAGATACAATTGATGATATGCAGGTACCCCAACGCGTTCTCCAGAAACGTGTGGCCAAGTCTGGAACTGCTGTGCGCCTTCAGGCGTTGATTCAGTGGACCGGCTTACCAGCTTCTCTGGCGACCTGGGAGGACCTGGAAGCTTTACGTCAACGCTTCCCTCGAGCACCAGCTTGGGGGCAAGCTGGTTCTGATCAAGGGGGGGATGTCAGCAACACGTCTACAACACCTGAAGCTGATGAAGCAGCGGACTCTGAAGGCGCCGCGCACGCAAGGACGGAACATGGGCCAAGAAGGAGCGTGCACGAACGCTGGCCCAGCACCAGAGCCCAAGGCCCGGAGTGGGCCTGACCGCATCCCAGTCGTAGAGAGAGGGAGAGATTAGGAAAGAACAAACTTGTAATCTAAACTCCCAGTCACTCTTCTGTTCTACTGAGATTCATCTGAACTACCTATTTGCTGTTGCTTCCTCGATCTCTATTCCTCTATTCTCGATCTGTGCTTACAGAGTATGACTGGCTGTGCACTGATTCAACAGCGAGTACAGCGGCAGCGTGGTGGCAATTGTCGGTGTTTCTTGCTTGTCGTGACGGCACATAAATTTCGAGTCGCAAGGTCATGTACCAAGTGCAAGGTAATCAGCTGGAAATTGATGCTGCTTGATATGGGCTTCTTGACTACCAACAAGGAAGTGCAGTACAATGCTGATTGCTTGAGCTCGACATATTCAGAACACGAGTTTCCGCAGTTCCTTTGGTATGCTGGTGGTTCCATACTTCTCCATCGGGCAAGCCGAATCTCAAGGAGAGTGAAATGTCAGGGACTACCTATGGTTGGGCCGCCATATGGGCCCTAGGCCTTGGCCGGGGAGTATTGCCAGGACCACTGGAAGACATCTACAAGAGCGCAGGAACACATCTCCATCTCCCTCTTGAGTTACTGTACTTCTTCCTCCCCGAGCCTCCATCTGTTGGTCTCGAACTCTCATCCTTGCTATGTTCTAGTTCTCCACTCCTCCGTCTAGATTGCTTTGCTTGCTCGAGACCTCCCTTCCCCTGAGGTCCGATTTGTATCTGAATCGAGCTATTCTGTGAACCAGTTGATAGGTGTGCTAACAGTTCATGTGTGTATACCACGGCAGGGAACGGTTGGGATGGGAGCTCTGCTACTCGAGCTGGGGCAGACCATCAGCCAGGAATCTGCACCAACTCTAGCCTATCATTTTGCCACGTGTCTGCAGCCGAAAGCACGCTAACAGATCGGTGCGGACCTTCAGATTTTGGATCGGCCCGTTTCATCGCAGTGCGGGAACCTCGGGAATCTTCTCGACGCGTCCGCTTGATCGGCTTCGGTGAGCAGGGCGGCAGCACGGGTAACCGCGCGGGCCACCGGCGAAGCGGCGCGGCGAGCCAAACGCGAGCTTGGCCGCGGGACACCGGATGCGCGCAGAGCATCATCGAGCTGTGATGCCGTGGACGAGCTGTTGGGGAGTGGCCACCGCACCGCGTTAGGGAGCGTGTCCGCCCCGTCATGGCCGGGGGCCTGGGCCACCGCACCGCCCAGCCGTGGGGGCAGACCCTCCTTGTAGGTTTGTCTGCCGGATCGGCCGACGCGCACGCGGGCACCACGAGGCAAGCGCCAGCGCCGGCGTGGCGTAGCGCTCTCTGACCTGCGGTTAGCTTCGCGCCGGCAGCTTCCTCGTGTCCTCCTTCCACGAGCCCAACGCCGAGGAGGACGGCAGCAAGGTCCAGGCCTTCCTCGGAGATGGAGAGCGCCATCAGGGACCATCTGCTTTGGGCCAACGCCACCAACCAGGAGATCGACCACGCACTCAAGGTGAAGCCCTGCCACACTGATCATTGTTTTTCGCCTTCATTCACACGTTTGTGTTTCAGACGCCCTGATGAGTTTTTTTTTCTGTTATCAATTACGTTGTCATTGTACTGTCGTATATTCAAGAGTTGCTTGTTTTAATCATGTAATATCCAAATTTGAAATTATCCAAAATTCCCATAAAAGAAAACATTCCAGTGATCCAGCCAAAGCTTATACTAACTATGACCATTCATTTTCTGCACATGCCACTCGAGCTTGCACCTTGCAGTGAAAGAGTTGCAGAGGATTAATTCCTTCAAAGCACCACGCGAGAAGCTTCTATGCACCATGAGCTGTTGTCAAGTCATCAATAACTTGCTTCTGAACATATCAATGTCAAATGTTCGTACATTATCTGAGACTGATGAATTCCTTCCTATTCTTATCTATATTACTATCAAGACAAGGCCAATCCTCAGCTGCACTCAAATCTGAAGTTTGTTCAGATCTATTAGAAGAGAAACAAAGCTAATTTGGGAAGTCGAATATTATCAGACAAACCTCATTTCAGCAAAGATGTTTATAATAGATATTAATGCTCGCTCACTATCAATACAGGAAATCGAGTTTCTGAAACATATGGAAACAGCAAGACCAGGTACTTAAACATCAGTTGCTAGCGGAGTTTTTTATATTTTTAATCCTTTTTTATTCAATATTTTAATAATAACCATGTCTAAATTTTTTTTGCAGATCTAAGATCTGTATTTTTTTAGACCCGGTTGTTATTAAAATATTGAATAAAAATGATTAAAAATATAAAAAATCCCGTTGCTAGCCCAAGTAGCTCACAGGGGCTTCCCACATCTACAAGGGCAAATCAAGAGGAAACCGATATGACAGGTTTTCTTACTATATTAGTCAATTTATTCAAAGAAGTTTATTTGACCATGGATTTGCATTCCAGTTTTCAACTCGCAAAATAGTTTCTCATCCATGAAACAAAATGTATAATGATATATTATGTTTTGGTTCAAGTATGATCATGGATTTGCATTCCAGTTTTCAACTCACAAAATAGTTTTTTTTACCTTGAAACAAAATGTATAATGATATATTATGTATTGGTCAAGTATGATATATGATATTATGTATGTATCCCTCGCTATTCTTCCATAAACTAATTCTAAAAAAACGTATTTCTTGTAGGGACGTTTAGAAAGGATAGACATTAGTTAGTACTCAAGACATCTTCCAATAATGGCAAGAAAGTTTGAGAGATATGCAAAGGGAAAAATACCACAATACTAATACATTATATATATTATTAGGTAACTACCTATTCAACTTTGGAACTAAGCAACGTGTTATATATCTACCTTATTCAAATTTTGAACTATAGTGGCACTGCACAAAACAACTTAGTACTAAATAATAAATGGATTTATTTAGACATGGTTCATCATATCCTTCTCAACTCCTACTTTTTGCGGAATTGCATGCACTCTATTGATTTGCAGAGATGCTTTCCATCAGAGCCTTAAAAACGTTATCTCATCATGTAAAGTACCTAAGAGCCCAAGCGGTGAATTCACGTCAATTCAAAACAAAATAAGCATATTCAGGCAAAAACATTAGTAACACTGTTCGTACTTGCTTTTTATATATTAATTATCTTGTAATACTGCTATTTATTCTCCACAGAAGGTAAGTAACACTAATGGCAATATAACACGGCAGCGACTCTAATGGTACCACTTCTATCTATACAACTAGCTCCATGATGCAAGCATCCCATGGGACCGCGCGGCAAGGCCGCGCGTTGCTTTCTAGTCTGGAACGGAGGAGACACCAAGTAGCATGTCGCTGCCGTGTGTTTCAGCAATTTTTCTTTTGAAGGAACTGGAGGGGCTAAAAGCCCCTAATTTTATTAAGACAAAGAAACGTGTTTCAGCTAATTAGATTAGATGCTGTCACGTGCGCAAATGATTCATGTTTTCAACTCCGTCGATAAACAGAGTTTGTGATGCTTGCATCACATTGTTTTGGAATTGTACTTTTGTCAACGTTCCTCTTTCAGTAATTAGTAGGTAATAAAATAAAGTTGTACTGTTGTTGAAATTGAAACAGAATCTGTGAGAGTCAAGACCATACTTGCACATTGATGCATCCGTTTACAGTTTCAGCTCGCAAAGGCATCAAATTCAAATTAAATGAAACCTAAGACCTGCGGGAATATACATAGTAATAGAAGTATAGAACACTTGCAAATTCTAACATCTCTGCTATCTAAAACAACTTCATTAGAGCCCATGAGTGTAGCATCTCTGCCAGGCGATTACAACTTGGTTTTACTAACTGAAGAAACAAGCAGCCGGAGCCCATGAGTGCGTGCGGGGTGCAGCTATGCAACGGGAACCAAGAACGCTGTTGGCATGGGAAGCATGCTGGATTCCGGCGCGGCGACGACGAAGCCCGGTCCAGCGTACATGGCCCGTGGCTTCCATACTATCTCCTCCTCCTCCGTGTCGATGTCGTTGCTGCCAGTACTGCTGCTCTCGCCGTCGTCCAGCAGCTTGGCCTGCGGCGGGCAGGACTTCTTGTGCACGTCCCAGCGCTCGGCGGATGACGCGCGGCTGATCGTCCACTTGCCTGAAGACGACGACGACGACGAAGCTGGGCTCGCTGCCTTCTTGTGCGCGTCCCACCTCTCCACGGAGTCGGCCCGGCCGGGCTTGGGCGGCGGCGAGGCGGCCATGTTCTTGCGCGGGGATCCGTGGCCGGCGCTGCTCCTGACGCTGTCGGCGGGACGAGGGCCTGACGATGCTGAGGCTGAGGGTTCTGCGCCAGCCGGCTTGGTCTTGCGCGCGTCCCACCTCTCGTCGGAGTCGGCGCGGCTGGGCTTGGCGAGCAGCTTCGCTTGGAGGATGGCTGCGACGCACGGTGGTGGCGTCGGAAGCAGCGGTAGCATCTTCCACTTGGGCGGGGTCGGGAGCAGCGCGGGGAGAGCCGCATGTGCCATGGCGAGGTGCACGCGGGCGACCGGGATCGCCATGGATCTTCGATGGAGATCGACGCGCGCGCGGTCACGCGGCACGGCGGCAACAGCGAACCAGAAGCGGCGTCGCAGGTGAGCTGGGCGAGGCGGAGAGGATGGATCGGCCGTGGCAGAGCAGCATCCGTGAGATATATAGGCACAGGGAAGTTGCCGTGGCAGAGCAGCATCCGTGAAATCTCAGGTACAGTAGAGGTGAGTCGGAGTCGGAACTCAGGTCCGTGTCGCCGCCGCCGCGTGGGCGCCACGCCATATCTGTCCGCTTTGGATTGGGGTTGCGAGTCGGAACTCCCTGCGCCCCGGTGGAGATGGCGGCGGGGCCTGCTGTGGCTGGTGCACGCGGGCACGGCACTGAGGCTACCGAGCCGAGCAGCCCGGCCCGTCAAGTGTTCGAGCTCGACGGCGCGCCCATTGCTCAGGCCACGACACGAGTGGCGTCAGCATCAGACCACGTCGCCGGCGGCGGCATCCCTTCCCGGTCCCACAGGACGGTTGCTCCGCACCGCGGCCGCATGCACGCGGCGTCCTCCGTCGTCGGCCGCACCGCGGGTTCGACGCCGAATAGTGAACGCGTGAGCTGCGGCCGCGACGCACGACACGTACTTCCGCCGCCGCCGCTGCCTGAGATGAGACCACGGCCCCGCCGGACAGCAGAGACGAGCGGCGTCCGCACACGCACTGCGGCGCTGCGCGCCGTTAAGTTGCCGCCTGAACGCAGCCGAGCAGCCGTGCGCCCTCGATACCCCGCCTCTGCCGCGACCGCGATCCGCGCGCGCCGTTGCTTCTCAACCTCGCAAAGTTGCCTCGGCCAGGCAGCTCCCCAGGCGGCCGGTCGATTTCGAGCGCCTGATGGCCGGATCGCGAGCGCCCCCAGGCCACGCTGGCACGCTGCAGAGCAAATACACCCGGACCTGCGGGTGCTCACTGCGCCGCGTCGCTCCCGGCTCCGGCACGCTCGCGCCACACACACTGCTGCCAGCACCGCCGTCTTGCTGCATGTTAGCAATTACCATGAGGGATCTGTCTTCTTCTTCTTCTTCTTCTTTTGAGAAAAAGAGAGGTATTTTATTACTCGGAAATAGGATTACACTCCCGAGCAATAATTTGCTCGATACAAGCCAAAACTGAAAAATGTCAAATGACGGACAATTTTGATCTCCTAACTAGTGTGAGAGCTCATGGGCAGCACGGTTTTCCTCTCTTCTCGTGTGGACCACTCTCCACTCAGGTAATCGCCCCGTTTCCTGAAGCACTTCGTCCACGATGAAACTTATCTCGAAACGCTCCCTTGCACGGTGTCTGATCATCTCGACAAGATTAGTCAAAATTAACAGTTGCCTACCACTTATCACTATGTCTGACTGTCTGTAATGTCGGAAGTCACTTAGCCCGTGTTTAGTTGGGCGAAAGTTGAAAATTTAGCTACTGTAGCACTTTCGTTTTTATTTGGCAATTAGTGTTCAATCATGAACTAATTAGGCTCAAAACATTCGTCTCGCAATTTTCAACCAAACTATGTAATTAGTTTTTTTTTCGTCTACATTTAATTAATGCTCCATACACGTATCGCAAGATTCGATATAATGGATACTGTAGCACTTTTTGAGAAAAGTTTTCGTGAAATATATAAGGGCTTATTTGCATTGCTTGTGACACTGTGGTGCCTGCTGGACTGTACTGTGCTACCTCATTCAAGTAAATTTTAGCATGCAAACACAACCATCCTATCCATTGTCGTCTAGTCCGGTTAGGATACCTGGCTTTCACCCAGGCGACCCGGGTTCAAATCCCGGCAATGGAATATTTTTGTTTTGTATTTTTTCTGTCTTGTTTTTGCTATTTTTTTTCTCTGTCTTGGTTTTTTTATACATTTTTTCTCTCTGTCTTTCTATTCACGTTTATCTTCTTCACATAATCACACATCTTGGCTACACGATATCATACTTCTTTGATGGATGGAGTTTTAACATGACTGTATCGGCTGTGGCACTCTACCTAGTTGGTTATTGCAAACTACTAAAGGAAGGAAACCCTTGTTGTTGTTGTCGTCGTCGTGGTCGTTGTTTTTTGCAAACTAGTAGAGGAGGGAGGAAGGGAGAGGCTGGTTTCGGTGTGGGTGTGCAACATAAACAAGATACATCGTGTACATAGACTTTTCCAGGAGGAAAAATAGCAGTCCATAATATCACATATTCATATATCTCCTAGCCTTTTGGAACCGCGAGATCACAAAAAAACAGTCATAAAATTAAAATTGGACTGTTCAAAAATAATTCACTACTTGTACATATGGTTTTTATATATTCGCTACTAGAGCAATTCCACAAGCCTCTACAAAATTCAATTTCTATATCTCTACTATTTGAGAGACATTCAATTTCAATGAATATACTCTCAGTTTTTTTTTCTTTATACACAAATAGCTTATTACTAAAAATTTTCTTGTACCAAAGAATGCATATAAAACTATCATATATTGTATTTAGAGTGCAATGTAGTAGTCTAAATCGACTCATGCAAATAAAAAAAATCAAAGCAACAATGCACAGAGGACGCACGGACTGCCTTTCTCGTTCCTTTAAGATCGGTCTTCTCCAAAGGTTCAATTCATGGGACTGCCAGGTCGGACAATGATTTGCTTTTTTTTATCACTTGAGCTAGGACACAGGAAGGGATAGGGTTGGAAGAGGGAGAGCGTGTTGGGCCATCTCATTGTTGGACTGTTGGGCTAGCATTTGTGCTGTACGCCGATGCGGACACACTTCTTCGCTTGCTTCTCAATGACCAAAGCCGAAATTGAAAACCAAAAAACCGACATTTTGGTTCGGTTCGACTTGGTTTTTGATTTCCGGTTTAAAAGTGCCCAACCCTAGTCATCATAAGTTGGGGTTCTTAGTTACAATGTCACAAGTAGTTCTTTTAGGGCTCACAAGTACTTAGAGTTTTGCAAATTTAACTCATGGTTTTTGCCTGGTCAAGCAACGGTTCTATTTAGCTGGTTCCTAAGCATGGGGGTGATATAGTAAAAGTAAAATGTACAATATTACTATGATTCGTGATATGTTCGTGAACGCACAAACCATTATAATTTGTTGACCAACATAAAAAGATTTATTTAGCTTTCGAATTTAATTGGATCCAATGTACGCTTATGAGCGTCCGTGTCTGTACTGAGTTTCACAAAAATATATTTCTAAGAAATAAATACTTCAATATAAAATCCATCAGAAGTTCAGAACAAAAGACAAAGGTCAAAATTTGATTACAAATTCTCCATCTCGGTAGGACAAGTTCAATACTCTCTCGGTTCAAAACGATAAGTCACTTTGACTTTTTTAATACATCTATTTTATGTATGTAGATATAATAATATGTCTAGTATCAAAATGGATAAAATTCAATCGGAACGGAGGGAGTAGTTCAAACAAAGCACGAATGATCTGGTTTGGACCAATGGGCCTAGACAACTAGTTTCCATGGGCCTTAGTTTCCGTTCCTAGTTTCCAGGCCCAGGCGAAACAGCCCCGGCCCCCGTTCCTAGTTTCACTTCCACCCTGCTGTCTCTTTTTCTTCGGATTCTTCTCCCTTCTGCCGTTCACCCCCCTCTTCTCTCGTGGCGACGACGGCGACAGACGCCGCCGCCCTACGCCAGGTGCCACGGTCCGTCGGTTCCTTCGCCAGCGAAGAGCACCCACCAGGTGTGCCGTATTCCCACCCCTTCTCTTACCTTCCTGTTGTGCGAAAGGGCTCCGAAACCCTAACTTAAGCTATTTGGCTATCTGTATCCGGATCTGATCTAGTTACAGTGTATATGTATATACGTGTTTTATTATTACTACCAATTTCGATTTTTTCTAAATATTATCGCCCAAGTTCTTGGCTGGCTCCGCCCCCTTGTTTGGATTAGCTGGCTGACAATTTGGATCGTTCGTTTGTTCTAGGCGACCCAGTGGTGTTCTGGTGCGGTTTCATTGCGGCAATCTTTGGGTGATTTCCAGCTGGCGGGCAGCGGCCCCCGGTGGCGAAGATGATCCGACTACCGACGTACGCGGCGTTCAGCCTGCTGGCGACGGCGTCCGCGGCGTACTACGCGTTCAGCAGCCGGGAGCAGTTCTACCCGGCGATGGTGTACCTCTCCACCTCCAAGATCTGCTTCGTGCTGCTCCTGAACATGGGCCTCGTCGCCATGTGCGTCGCCTGGCAGCTCGCCAGGCGCCTCTTCCTCGGCTCGCTCCGGGAGGCTGAGGTCGAGCGCCTCAACGAGCAGGCCTGGCGGGAGGTCATCGAGATCCTCTTCGCCGTCACCATCTTCCGGCAGGACTTCTCGGTGTCCTTCCTCGCCATGGTCGCCGCGCTGCTCCTCGTCAAGGCGCTGCACTGGCTCGCGCAGAAGAGGGTCGAGTACATCGAGACCACGCCCTCCGTGCCCTTGCTCTCGCACGTCAGGATCGTCTCCTTCATGGTTTTCCTGCTCACCATCGACTGCCTCTTCCTGTCTAACTCGCTTAGGTCACTCATACAGAAGCGGGAGGCGTCCGTTGCCATCTTCTTCTCCTTTGAGTAAGCTCAATTTTCTTTTCTTTTCTTTAATTTCGCCTCAATGCCTTTTGTGTGTGCGTGGAAATTCTGCACTCTCTGTTTTCATTTTATCACTGTATCAATGTGACACACTACAATAATTTGACCTCTTTCGCAACATTATTAGAGTGGGTGTAGAGATTGATTAGATTGGTCAAACTCTTTGATATGACATTTCCCAAGATAATGGGCAAATATTTGCAAAACGGAGAAGTACTACATATTAGGTCTGTATAACAAGCGAGTGTCTTTTTGTAGTTGCACTGTACCATGCCTGCCACAAAGGTCTTAATTCTTCAGTAGTGTAATCTCTTTCCATTTTGTGTACGGTCCTTTGCAGTTTGCACTGCCCTATACTACATGAATAATGCCAGCTTTGCAGTTATTTTTTTATTTGCTCTTAGAAGGGCAGGCCTAGTGCAGTGGTGAGAGCTGTCTCACTCAGTCACCAGGTCGTGGGTTCGAAGCAGCCTCTCCGCAGATTTTGCGGGGGAAAGGCTTGTCTCGGTTTATCCCTTCCCTAGACCCCACTCATGTGGGAGCCTCCGGCACTGGGTCTGCCCTTTTCTTATATATGCTAAGCCATGAATATATCTACTTTCACTACCTCAACAGTCTCAAGCTTGCTAATCAGTTCATCTATATGCTCTTGTTGCTTATTACGAGATGTTAGTCTACAAGCTTGTCTAGTTATGTCTGTTTAGGTTTGAGCAATACTCAAGTGTCTGCAAAGTATTAGGTCCATTTAGCATGAAACTCTCAGCTATACTTCTAATTATTTGCTTCTTGCTTCCAAGGCAAGGGTTATGCCTTACAGGCTAGGTAATAACCCCATATTTCTTATTTCTAAATTCATTGCAATTTTTTTATTGATGTATCATTTTAAGATCCAAAATACGCAATAATAGCTAACAAGTATAAATCATGACTAGCAACATCCACAGTATCAACATTCGTGAAGTATATATTCTATGTCAGTGACATGCTAATGGAAGGCCAATGGGAGAGAAAGGCAGTGTATACATTTTACTTGGAGCTCATCAGTGACCTTGTGCACCTGTCCTTATACATGCTCTTCTTCATAGCTATCTTCCTGTAAGTTCTCTTATTATGGTACTCTGATACTATAATGTAAACTATGGTTGTTGATTCATTATACTGATATCAGAAACTATGGTGTCCCGCTGCACCTGATTCGTGAGCTATATGAGACCTTCCGCAACTTCAGAATTCGCATTGCAGATTATGTACGCTACAGAAAGATCACTTCCAACATGAATGAACGCTTTCCAGATGCTACAACAGAAGAGCTCGATGTGTAAGTTTTATATTGTAACTTTGGCGATTCAGTTGACTCGACTATAAAATTTGTTGTCATTTGAATTTTATTGTATTCAGGAGCGATGCTACATGTATTATTTGCCGTGAGGAGATGACTACAGCAAAGAAACTGCTCTGCGGGCATCTGTTCCATGTGCATTGTCTAAGGTCTTGGTTAGAGCGCCAGCACACTTGCCCTACATGCAGAGCTCCAATCATTCCCGCAGATAATGGACGTGCTGCATCAGCGCGACAACATGGAGCTCAAGCCGGAGTTCAGCCTGGTGAGTTTCCTTTTCTTGATCTGATCTTATTTCCCCCTCACATATTCTGATTTGAGTCTTCATTGGTATCATAGAGGACTGCACTCTGTGGTCAGTCTATATTTGTGATTTCTGTTTTGATGTGAGATCCATCCTCAGAAGGAGCACCAGGTGAGAACATGAGCAGGCGCCAAGCAAAACTTGAAGCTGCTGCAGCGGCAGCTTCTTTATATGGAAGATCTTTTGTTTATCCTCCAGCAAACACCCTAAACAGGTATGTTTCTGCAACTGTCTAAAGTCTAATCACGAAGTTTTTCATCTTGCCAAACTGGGTGGTTAACCATGCTTGTCTACTTTTCAGTACTTTGTATTCACTATAATTTAATTATTACTATATTTATAGCATAATAAAATGTATGGGTGTTATGATATAAAGCATAAAATACTAATACGTATGTTGTATTCAACCAACAGGTCTGGTCCTCTGCTGTCTACATCAAGCACACCACAATCTGAAGCAAGTAGCTCCAATCAGTCACAAAAAGACCAAGAAATGCAGTTCCGAAACAGCAACGATGGTTTAGTGCCTCTGCCTTTTAATGCAAATGGTGCTGTTGGTTCAGGAACAAGCACAAGGGATCTTGAAAATTCACTGCAGAAGGCACAAGAAAACTTTATTAAAAGCCAGATTGAGGTAAGAAAGAATCTTTATCCCAAAAGTACTCGGCTCACATCCTTCCATGCTACTTTATGATGTGATCAACAAGCGCTGCATACAAGCTATAATGAGCTAGATAGGTCTACAATGACTGCTTGAAAGTTGCAATATCATAGATATTTCTGTTGCAAGCTCATCTTTAGCTGCAATCGTGCAAAGCTGCATACTCTGTGACCTTCATATGTACTGATGACTTGTCACGATGACTTGTGTGACATCCGACATGGATGGATAGCTTCTGAATCACACAATTGATTATTCGACTCAACTTGCATCTATCTAATGATTCATTCATTGCATGATCACACACGAAAATGAATTTGTTGTGCTAGGTATCTGTGTGATGTTTTTAATACATTCGGATTATGTTAACGAAAGTTAACAGTTTGGAGATGTTACAGTCTGCTTGTCATTGAGTACTGCTGTAAATATGCAAATATGCCATCCATTGCATGCAATCTATGATCTACATTTTACTGTAGGCTGCAAGTTCATGAGCTTTGAACAGTTACACAATCTGACTTGTTTTCTCTCAAGTCGTGAATGCTTTTCTTGTATAGCACTCAGTAACTAGATTGGACCTGCCTGTTGCATTTGTGCACGTACGGCAATTATTGGGCGACTTGTTGTTTCACCTTTAGTTTATAATGACATGCTTAACATAATGCATAGATTTCTTTCATTGATATATCAATAATATCCAACAACCCTGATAAGCTGTACATCTTCTATCCAGATGTTACAAATCCAACTGCAAATGGTGCAGTGTGGCGCCGCTGCGTCGCCCAGTAACAATGGGAATGCTGAGCACACAAAGAATGACTGAATCTGTAAACAGGCACTCCTGCGTCACGGAGTAATCATGAGAATGCTGAGCACACACAGCTGAATCTGTAAATAGGCGGAGATGAGGATGGGGAAACTGTTACATGATGCCTTGCCTTGAATTTGGTAGGCTTGTTAATTTATGCTTCCCTGTTAGTGCCTTATCGCCAACACCAGACGTTTCTTCTATGTCGTGTGGTGGTTTCTGTAGTTTGGGTACATCAAGCCTATATAACCTTTTGATGGGAGAACAATGGCTGGTTTAATCATGAGATTACACAAAATTCTTCTACCGAGGGAAAATAGAAATGACTTTTTTTCTTGCCTATCCATGATATCAGGAAAGTCTGTAGATTTTATGTTTACTGAAGTCAAATAGAACATTTGGCTGGTGGTTGGATGTTGAACACAGTGGAAATTTCGGTTGTATCCGTGATCAGGGAGTTTTTTTAAAATAAAAGAAATAAAGAAAACTGTATATTCATATAAAGTTTATCTGTGTGTTGATGCTGTAAATACAGGTTGCTAAATTTGCTTGAAAGGTTTAGTTCCGCTGCTTTCCCCGAATTTGATGTGTTGGGAGGCGTTGACAAATATTCCACTACCTTCCTGTTCCTGGTGTCCCTGGATCTGGTTGAAACATAAGACTACAAGTTGGTTTCCGTGGGCCGTGGCGTTGGATCGCCGGCCCAATCGACCGTGGAAGACGAGTGTGCAGCAGGGCAGAGCCGGCGAGGTCCTTGAAACCGTTTGATTGCATTTCGTGATAATTCTTGGCAGCTGGAACTGGTAGTAGCTCGAGTCTTGATTGATTGACTCGTGAATTCATCGACGATTCTTGTCCAAACTGTCCGTATAGGAATTTTGTCTACTAGTGAGATTTTTATTGATTGGCTCGTGAATTCATCGATGATGCTTGTCCGTACAGTCCGTATAGGAATTTTGAGTATAAATTTTTCCCAATCATGTTTACACCTCAACTTTTGAGAGGAAAGTCTTCTAATCGTATAGTATTATTGTAGATCATAGATTTATATCGTTTCAAAAAAAATTTAAAGTACATTTTTTATAAGAGCCAATGTCATTTTGCGACTGCGCGATCCTGGCTAGACTTAGTCTAACTTTGCCCGGTCCATGCCACCTAACATCATACTGTCAATGTCTCCAAGGCGAAAGCGCTCATGGCCTCACCCGCATCACCAACAATACGGTGATTGACACGGCCAAAGAGAACTCTAACCACGTACGTGTCATTAGATGTACGGTGAGCGACACGTCGAAGACAAAAATCCTCATGGAAGACAAAATCCTCATGGTATCCGCCTGTGCCACCAAATAGCATGGCAGCCGACACACCCAAAGCCTCATCCACAAGGGCAGATCAAATGGTGAGGCGGGAAGGGGGGCTCAAGGCCATTGGCGGACCTAGTGGGTGGTCAGGGTGGTCCATCGACCACCCTGTGGGCCCCCCGTCAACCATACACAATACAAATAAAAAATTTTAAAAAAAGCAAGCCATCTGGCGTCCGGTGCCCTTCGTATTCGCAACTGACGCGGTCACGCGGAGCGGATTCCCTCCGTCTTGGCGTGCGGTTGGGCCGCCTGACTCCAAATCGATCAAGGCGGAGTTGGATATAGCGTCGCTCGGATCGCCGTCGATCCTGTCGCCCCATCGAGTCTGGACTGCCGCCATCGGCGCATCGGCATCGCCCGTTGCCGCTGGCACGAGCCCTAGATTGCCGCCATCACCTGCAGGACTGATCGCCAGTCCTTCCTCAGTTCCTCGGGTGATACTCCCCGTCCATCCCCGTCCTTCCTCAGTTCCAGGTTTCTTCCGATCGTTAGTTTTGCTAATTGGCGAGTGTTTTTTCTAGAACTCTTGAGTCTTGAATTATGAAAAGAAACAGAGACATTCGATCCCTTTTTCAGAAAGCAACAAAGAAGGCGGCTGCTATTTGTAACACCCCGGTGTTATGCCTACATTTAGGCACTGCAAATCATGCATATCATGCATCACCAAGCATCCTAATCATACATGCATAATCTTGCCTATAATAACTGAAACATTACTTGAAACATCTGAAACATGTTTGTGAAACGAAAAATGATGCATACACTTATTAGAGTTGTTTTGCTCGATTCTTGCTTGCTAGGTTAGTAGAACATGTTTGGCTGCTATTGTAAATCATCTAGCAATGTTTAGTTCAATTTTTGGAGCAATGTTTGTATTCCAATTTAATTCAAAATTGGCTTCAAAAATAAATTCCAAAAATTAGGGTTTTGAGCTAAGCGTGGACTTTGATCTTCCAATTCAAAATCTAGAAAGAATTTGGTTTGTGGTCCTAAAAGCAAAGTTGTAGAGAATTAAATTCTAAGCAACTTTCATTTTGGTACATTTTCAAAAGAGGTCATCTTCTTACTCAAAATAAGATTTGAAAGCTGGCTTTTAAAAAATTCTTGAAAATATAAATGAAAAAGAGTTTTTTTATTTTCATGGCGCAGCCTCGCCGCTCGGCATTGACCCATAAGCCGGCCACAAAGCCCCCTCGCACCAGACCCCTGTTTGCTTCTGCTTCAGCGCTTCGCCTTGGCCCAATGCCGCCTCATGCCAGGCCAGGCCACGGCGCCCCGCTTCGCCCGCGCTCATGCGCGCGCTGCGCCCACGCAGCCGCGAAGCCGATCGCCAGCGTGGCGCCACCCGTCGCTGAAAGCTCGATCCCATGACCCACGAGCCACAGGCTTCAGACCTTCTTGGCCGAGTCTTGAGCACCCTGCTACGCCCACCGCATTCAAATTCGCCCACTCCCACCGCTGCCTGCCCTCTCGCCTCTCACGCGCGCCCGCCATCGCCACCACCGTGCATGCCGCGCCTTGCCGGGCTTTCTTTCGCCCGCCCAGCCACCTCGGCTTCGCCGGTGACAACTCCGTCTAGCCTCTGACTCCGCCGTCACACCTCGCGCACCCGTGCTCTCGCTTCTTTGCGGTGGTAAGCATCCCGTTCTTGGGAATTGCTCGCCCGAGCACGGCGAAGCTTCATTGGTGAGCTCGCTCCCGTGGACTCCCCTCCCAGCTCCTCTTCCTACTCAGATTGCGCCAAGACAAGCACCTGACGGCGACGTTGAGTCTCCGGCGCCTCCTTGCACCTCGCCGTGGCGGAGATGCTCCACCGGCGACTAGCCAGCGCCGCCCGCTCCGCCATTACCGTCATTGAGCTTTTTCCCTGCACCGCCCTCCTATTCACCTCTATCCGAAGCAGCGGTTTGGCATGGGGAGCACGTTGGTGCCCTCCGTTTACGCCGGGGACCTCGCCGTCGTGATTTTTCATTGCCTGCATGCCGTCGTCCCTCTCAGTCCCTATTTTTTCTCGCTGGCATGCGGGCCTGGTTTGTCGACCGCCCATTCTTCTTGAGGGGCGGAGATGGGCTGCGTCGTTCTGGGCGTGTCTTGGCCTAAGATCGTGGGCCGCCGAAGCCGTTCGGGCTGGCCCAGTAACGTTTAAGTGATTTGATTTCCATTTATTCTTTATTATTTGAAATCTGAAATGGTTTGAAAAATATTTGGATACTCAAACTTGCTCCAAATTTGTTGAAACAAATTTTGCTAGGTTCCTTATCATCAGATCTACTTGGGAAAAATAGTGCATGTCATTTTTGAGATACTTTTCTATAGGATTTTATTTAATCTTGAATATTGCTGATAACTTGAAAAATATGTAGAAAAATATATAGGCTTCAGAAAAATATGATTCCAAGTTTGTTAATCTTCTTATTTCATGTACTTCCTAGGAAAAATATGTTTCATGCATGTGCTGTGGGAAAAATTTGAGGTGTAGTTCAAGTTCCTTTAATGGCTGATTTTGTATATTTTTGCTAGAGCACAAATTTTGTATAAAACATGCATGTGACAATTTTTGTACAGTCATTATATACCATGAAGAACCTAGGAAAAATATTAATTCTGTTGTTTGACACTTTTCATAGTACAAAGTAATTTCATGCTCATTTTAGGCTATAGCTTGTCATTTTTGTGTAGGATAGTTTACTTATCCAAATGCCATGAAATTTTATGGTAGTCTGTTTAGGGTAGTAGTATGCTACTGTAATTTTCTCAGATTTTTAGGAGCATCAGAAATTTAGGTTGCTATTCAAACCTATTATTAATTAGGGTTTAAGCAAGTGTTGCCTTAAGTGTGATTAAGAAATTAGTAAAGCTTTGGTGTATCTTTGAAGCATTTAATAACATATGTTGACTTAACATATTGGTAGTAGAAGAAAATGCAGTAGATGACATGTGCTTGTAGCATAGTTTCTTGGATGATGTTGTCTACCTTGCCTTTCAACATATTCATTGCATTCATCTCCTTGATGCACCGATTGCATAGGCACTTACACGCATTGCATCATACTGAGGATCGCAAACCGAGAACCCAGTCGTCATTCCCGAGGAAGCGATTCGAAGTGCGGCCGCATGAGAAGTGCCGAAGCCAAGCGAGGAGGGCGTTGAAGAACTTCCGGAGTGCCCCGATCACCGTCAAAGCTCCTTCGAGAGAGGCAAGCCCGGAGCATCTTTCTCCGGTTTGCAATGATTTCGTTAAATGCTTTACTTTAAATTGATGCATTACGTTCAGGAGTTGTTTGCAACCGTTCTTTGCATTATACCTTGTTTACCTTTGTTATACTATATCCTTGTTACCACGGTATCCATGATCGAGTCAATGCTTAGGTGGCTTAGACCGGTAGAAGTCGGGTGATTTCTGTCACTGCGAGCTATAGGTGGTTACTGGATCTGTTTGGATGGCTATGAAGTCATGGTATAACTAAGTGTTAAATGAAGTTGAGACCGAGGCGGAGACTTGCGGGGTTTTTGGTGTGTAGTGTTTCCGTCGTGTCGATTAAGGACCGACCGTTGTTGGGCCTCGAGTCATGTTGAACGCATGCCTTACATTTAGTGGCGGATAAAGTACCTTC